CCCGCCGCCCGCCCGGCGCTCCGGACCGCGGGCTGCTCCGGCTCCCCCAGCCCAGCGCGGGCCCCGCGGCCGCCGGCGGCCGGAGAACCCCGGTCCGCAAAGCAGAACGGCCCGACGTGTGGCAGCGAGGTGCCGCTTTACTGAAATTCTCCAACCGAGGGATGGCCTTTGGGTTTACGCGACGTTTAGAGCAGAGTTTTGCCCGTATCCCGCCCCCGCTACCCTCCAGATTATGGTGATTTATTTCAGGGGTGAACCTGGGCGACCTAACCTTGAGCAGTCTCCGCCTCAGTCCCCGCGTGGGGGCGCGCGCTAAATCCGGCAGGGCCCTCACGCCTGCCCGCCAGTCCCACTCTCGAGCACCGTCCTCCCTCCATTTGTTCTCCTGTCGTCTTTTCAGCAGCCCCTTCCCAAAGCTAACTAAATCTGGATCTCAGTTTTTCAAACCATCTCCTGTGTTGCACCAGGTAGAGACACCATCCGGCCCTGGTGCAGCCGTAGCTCCACAGCCCCGCCCCTTTTCCAGGTGCTTTCAAAGCCTCCCCGTGGCCTCTCCAAACCCCAGCTTTAGCAGGTGCCAATCCCACCTTCTAAACCTGCCACGTCAGCCTGGGGGGCTTTCCCCCTTCTTTTGCAGTCTAGAAGCTACTCAGCGTAAACGTTGATGTGCACAAAGATGTCCTGGCAAACCCTGAGCTTGTGTCTGTGTTTTGTAAATTTGGAAATATTAGAACTATGCAGAAGAGAACAGAAAATAATATTATATAAGGCCAGCATGGTAGCTCAGGCCTGTAATCCCAGTGCTTTGAGAGGCCTAGGCAAGAGTTTTGCTTGAGGCCAGGAGTTCAAGATTAGCCTGGGCAACACAGCAAGGCCCCATCACTAAAAAAGGAAAAATTAGCCGGGCATGGTGGCTTGCATCTGTAGTTGTAGCTACTCAGGAGGCTGAGGCAGGAGGATGCTTGAACCTAGGAGTTTGAGGCTGCAGTGAGCTGTGATTGGGCCATTGCACCAGCTTGGGCAACAGAGCTAGACCCTGTCTGTAAAAAAAAGAAAAAAAAAATATTAATGACACCCACTCACACCCTCCACTATCAAGACTAAACAGATATCAAAACATTTTGCAGCACGTAATTGGGATTTATTAAAGACATAAATTAGACATAACTCAAGCTCCACCCTCATTCCTCTCCTTCCTCTCCAGAGATAATCACTGCTCAAGTTTGTGCATAATCATTCCCGTTCGTGTTTTTTTACTTTTATTACATATGACATGTGGATCTAGAAACTACATATGGAATAAAGACCAAATTTTATTTTTAAACTTTACAAAAATCTCCAGGCATGGTAGCTCACGCCTGTAATCCTAGCACTCTGGGAGGCCGAGGCAGGAGGATCACCCGAGCCCAGGAGCTTGAGGTTGCTGTGAGCTGGGCTGGCACCACGGCACTTTAGCCCCAGTGAGAGAGTGAGACTATGTCTCAGAAAAAAAAAAAAAAAATCTTTACAACAATGACATCATCGTGAATAATCTTTTTGTAACTTTTTTCATTCACCAGTATGTTTTTGAGATTTATTAGTATCAATTCATTTGTTTTAACTACAGCATAGTATTTTGTTATGTTTTTCATGTCTCTTATATGTAGCATATAGCTGAACTTTTTAGGAATCTTAATCTGAGACTATTTCTCTATTAGCTAGAGTTTAGCTTGTTTATTAATTATAATTGTATTTATTTCTTCTGTTGTATTTTGTGCTATTTACCATGCTTTTTCTTTACATTTTATTTTCTGCTTTCCTGTTACATTATCTGGGTTCAGTTTCAGAGAACAGACCCATTCTAGATAGTTTAAGTACAATAGTATTTATTACAGGTATAGGATGGAGGGCCGAAGCAGCAGACTCCAGTTGAACGTTCAGGAATGACTTTGAGAGTCGTGCTGCAGAACGGAGCCACCAAAGGAGCCACTACCTCTTCTAAAATCAGTAAGTCATGTACCGAATTGGGAAGCTGTCACTACACTTACCAGCTCTTGAGGCACACAGGTATTATATTGTCATGATGAGAAGCCACTGCAGAAAAATTAGATGCCTCCACAACTGCACTCCCCAGCAGAAACAGCGCACGTGGACTCTGCTTCACCTCCGCCTACAGATCTCAGAAGAGAGAAAGCAACTGCAAGAACCAAAGCTGTGTCCAGAATCCTTGCTGCAAGATCATCTAGGAAATGTAGTTCTGGCCTTTCAGCTCCTGCAAAGCGGGAAGGACAGTAGAAAGACGATGGAATGGGCGTTGCACTAACTCCACCGTATCAGTCCACTGATCCAGGCAGCTGCCATATCTGCACTCTGTTCCATATTTCCTCATCTGATTTGGAATATATTTATTCTATTTCCATTCTTATTGTGATTAACTTAGTCATTTTAAATTTTTATTTTATTTTTTTAGGAAGAGAGTCTCATTCTATTGCCCAGGCTGAACTCCTGGGCTTAAGCCATCCTCCTACCTCAGCCTCCCGATTAGCTGGGATAATTTTTTAATCAAATAAATACATGGGAATTGTATAAAAAATAAAATTTACAGGCTTATAATTGTAAAAAGAATTCCCAAGTCCCCCTTTAAATAAGCTTATTTACTGTTTTATGATATTTTTCAACTTTTACATATTAACTGAATTTTCTATTACAGAAAAGAATGATTTAGCCATTTTATGCCCCACCAAAAATATAATTTTACCTGCCCTCATCCTTTCAGTGTAGTTTTATGATCATTTTTGGTAAATCAATATTAAGTGTTTACATAGTGTAGTATAGTTCCACTTTGGTACGAACTCTTTTTTGGAGTTAAAAATTACCTGTGTTGTTGATTGCTTAGATTTCTCTCAACCTATTATAAATCCTTTCTCGAACTCTGCCAGAGCTGTGAGACATATCGCTGAGCCTACGAATGATCGGTCCCGGGGAGAGCCTTTCTCCTGGAGTGCTTCGCCTTCCTGTTCCATGCTGGCCGCTGCCGTCTAGCCCACTGTCTACTGTGGTCCCGAGGGTCCCCTGCCCTCCCCCTGAGGTGCCCTGCGTCTCCTGTGTTCTGACCTCTGCTTCTTGCATCCCAGGTATTCCTCTTGCCATGTGTGCGCCTTCATTTTGGTGAAACACATTCTCCAGTAGTTTCCTGGGGTGGGGGCTAATGGGTACATAAAAGATAAAAATCTTTGAGACTGTGAATGTGTGAAGATGTTTTCATTCTACCCTCATACTAGATTGTTAGTTTGGCTAAGAACGGTTGTCGTTGTTGGAAATCCTTTTCACTTAGCTCTTCGAATGCGCTGCTTCGCTGTTTCTCACTCCAGTGTCGCTGTCGGGAAAGCCACTCACCTTCTGTTTCCTTTGTAGAGGACTGGGTTTTCGAGAATCGTAATTTATTTATTTTTGTCCTGCCCACCCCAGTCCTCTGAAGGCTTAGCGTTCTGATATTTTATGAAGATGTGTCTTGGTGTGAGTCTTCCGTTGTTGTTCGTTGTGCTGGGCACTGGGCACATGTGTGGAAACGAGACTCTCACGTCTTTCCGTTCTGGGAAATTATCTCATCTTTTTGTTAATTTTCTTCCCTTCAATTTCTTTGCTCTTTCTTTCTGGAACTTTTGTTAGTCAGTTCATGGGTCTCCTAGATTGCTCTTCTAATTTTCTTTTCTCTGCTATTTTTTATTTCTTCGCCTTTTGTTATTTTTCTATTTCCTGGTACATTTTCTCAACTTTATCTTCCAGCTATTCTGTTGAACTTTTATTTCTGCTATTAACCTTTTCATTTCTAAGAGCTTTTTCTTGTTCCAGAGGTTCCCTTTTTATTTATTTATTTATTTTTATTTATTTATTTTTTTTTTTGAGACAGAGTCTCGCTCTGTTGCCCGGGCTAGAGTGAGTGCCGTGGCGTCAGCCTAGCTCACAGCAACCTCAAACTCCTGGGCTCAAGCGATTCTCCTGCCTCAGTCCCGAGTAGCTGGGACTACAGACATGCGCCATCATGCCCGGCTAATTTTTTCTATATATTTTTAGTTGTCCAGATAATTTCTTTCTATTTTCAGTAGAGACGGGGTCTCACTCTTGCTCAGGCTGGTCTTGAACTCCCGACCTTGAGCCATCCTGCTACCTCAGCCTCCCAGAGTGCTAGGATTACAGGTGGGAGCCACCATGCCTGGCCCAGAGGTTCCTTTTTTTAATAGCATCCTGTACTCCTTTCATGGATATGATGTTAATTGTAGATTATTTCTGTTTTTACATTTTCTTCTATTCCATATGTTGTCTGCCTCTGTTTTGTTCGAGTTCATTTTTTTATTTGCTCATTTTGGTCTCCATCTAGAGACTTTCCTCAAACCTCTGGTGATCCTTGACTCTCCATTCATAATTAAGACAGAAACACTAAATATGTACAGATTCTTTGCTTCTGGAAATAAAAAAAATTAAATATATATTTGTATCTATTCTGCAGCAAAGATTGCTAGTTGTCTCCCAATATTCAATCTCTCCTCTTTCCTTTATTAAAAGAAACCCTGAGCTTCAGCTGAGCACGTCTGGGCCCAGCCGAAGCCAGCTAAAGCCTGCAGTTCCCACTCTCCCTCGCAAATAGGTCTGGCCCTGCACCTATGCCCTGCCCAGTGGTCGGAAGTAATATGTGCAGCTTTGGGATTATGTCCTTAAACGAAAATGGCCTTCGTTTGCCTCTTCTCTGTTTCTCACCGACTGCAGTCTGGATGTGGTGACAAAGTTGGGAACACCCATCTTAGACCATGAGGTGAAAACTATGTGTTGAGAACGACAGAACAACGGTAGCAAAGGGGCCGGGTCCCAGGACTG